ATGGACATAATGTCTGCCAACTCACACATTATCCACCTTATTGTCAAATTCATTGTACAAAAATTGAAGTTGAAAATTAATTCAAGTTAATCATTACTAACAATACAGATATGAATTAAACTACTTGTACAATGATTTTGACAATGTGTGAGGTGTATAGATAATTGTCATTGAATTCAAAAACAATCTTTCAAATCAATAGACATAATGCTTGCCAACTCACACATTGTCAAACTTATTGTCAAATTCATTGTACAAGTAGCATGGTTCAAAAATTTGCATTGCTGCTGCTGATTATCAATCAATTCTTTGCTTGATTGACCTCAAATCTTGAAGGTGAGGACGGCGACTTAATTTAAAGGTACATGTTAAGGAAATACGATTTCGTGAATTGTATAGGAAGTGGGAAAACATAATGGGGATGGATGCTAGAGGGGTGGTGGTGGGGGTGGGGGGGTAAAGTTGGTGCAAACATCCGAGAAGAGGAGAGAAACAGTGGCCTTTGGCTGTTCTTCGGTTGGCATCTCAAAGAATATAGTACATGTAGCAACCACTTCTATGCAATTGCACTTTTTTGAATGTTCAGTGACAGTGGATACAAGCTACTCACATATGAATTATGAAGGGTAACCAGTACTCTGCTTTACAGGACATAAAACTGACTCGTGCTTATTCAGACAAACATTTATCAAATGAAACTAGATACATACTGCAGTTGTGATTTTCATGTTTGTATTGAAAATTTTAGTTAATGGTTGACCTCTTTTTTCCCTTTTTCCAGGAATGCTGTATATGTCTTTGTGCATATGAGGATGCCGCCGAACTTCATGCTCTTCCTTGCAATCATCACTTTCATTCAACATGTATTGTGAAATGGCTTAAGATGAATGCAACATGTCCACTCTGCAAATATGACATCCTCAAGGGTAACGACCAAGTTTAAATGAAGAGAAGAAAACCAGTTGGACTTCAAGATCCGCTTGTCTCGTCTGGAGGCACAGTGAATTGAATGCTGGAAATGTACATTCTACTATATATTTATGGGAATAAGATGGCTTAGCTTCCTTGTACATTTTTTCCTGTTTTGAATTTTTCCTACTTGGAAGGTCTCCAGCCGTGTAAATCTTTTTGTTTCATTTGTTTTAGAGTTGATTCTTGTTTGTACTTTTTGAAAAGGATAGCGACACCAGCTGCAACGTCCTTTAAAGTTTAACTAGATGTACAGTGGAGAATTTAAGAACTAAGAATTGCGTATGTGCTGCATATTGTTTAATACTTTTTGTATGCCGAGTTTGACATAGCGGTCGAAATAAGTTTTCGGGTACTCCAAACAAGTTTTTAACCTCATTTTTTCTTGAAAAAAGAAGAGTTAAAATAGCTTGAAACCGGGAAATGGAAGACTACAAACTAGCTACTTTTGTACAAACGAGATCGAGCAATGTTTGCTCGAATAAATATTATTTTTTGGGTTGTCGGAGCATGTTTTAAATAATTGATTATTTTCCAGGTGTACTAAATTTTCTGTTCTGTTGCACAAAATTGAACGATTGTAACATGCCAAATTAAGCTCATGTTTGACCCTTGTTTCTTATAATTCATATTTCTTTAAAACTTATTTTCAATCACACGTTGTATAGAATTCACAAACTTTATTAATTTTACCACAACACATTTTATCAACTTTTATCAAAATTTATTTTTTATTTGAATTAAACAGGGGCTAAGTGAACTTTGTCAAAATTTTAATTAATATTTAAGCTGGTAAAATATACACTTTTATCGACAAATTTTTTTAAGATTCACAACCATTATTCCCTTATTATTCACAAATTCAATAGGATTCACAACAACTTTTAATCATTAAAAATAAATTCAAGCACGTGTTATTTTTAATTAGAACTTGGGTGATAAGAAATGTTAACGGAATAATACTACTTGTACATAATGGAGTTACATAATAGTTACAAATACTGGTGAGAAAGAAATTTTGACCCAATTATATCTCATCACATCGTGTGTATGCACAATTGATGTTAACGTAGATGATAAAATCGCATACGACTTTCATGAGACTTGGAGTTGGAGGGCAAAATAGTTGAACCATTTCACCTTTATCTCAAATTCTAATTGAAAGTTGTGTTCAATAGGTTTACATTGACATTTTCAATTGTGACGGCTTAAATTCATATATTTAAATAGGTTGGGACCAAAACCTCATATTTGAAGGTCGGGAACCTAGAACCACCACGTAAAAACACGGGAGAGCACAACCCTAATTTGCCCCTTATTTACATAATCACTAGTATGTTTGGTAAATAGAAATATAATAGGTAATATATTTATTTTCATTTGTTACTCAATTTGCCCACCCAATTATGTCATCAATGTTCATCAAAATTCTAAATTACAACGCGAAGAGTACAGAGTTAATTTTAATTTTAAACTTGGGTACTAGGAAATTAAAGCCTCCTTGCTGCTTCACACTTTTCACTTAGTCCATGTTTGATAGAAATTAAAATTACGATTTTAATTCAATTCAAATTCAATATTTAAATTTAATCACACATTTTATGGAACCAACAAATTTTCAAACATATTTTCATCAACTTCTATTCAAATTTATTAAAAACCTGAATTTAATCCCTATCAAACGGGGGCTTATTGAGTTTTAAAAGATGGGGCAATAAATAAGTAGTAATGAATAAAATAATTTATTTACTCTCTTGTTTGTATTATAGAATGATATAGGTAGAGATGTTTATACCATGCGTAGATCAGTAGATGACTGAACTTTATAAAATACTTGTGTGGGTACACAACTTATTGGCATATTCTATTTTGATCACTCCTTTTTTTAAAAAAAAATTAATTAGCACTAAATTTTTATTTTCTTATCTCATTAGTCCCTCAACTTCCTTCCATCAATGCCAACTAATGGAATGTGAGAACTCGGAGTGACTAATGGGATAATACGTGAAAATTTAGTGTTAGCATTTCAATAAAAAGAGTCGAGTGACCAAAGTTGAACGGCCTAATCGGTTTTTAACTTAAGATTTAATAAGTTTTCTCACTATGATATTTATCTTCTTGCACGCAAGTGATTATTTATGGTGGCACTCATTGGCTTGCACAGTCCCATGCAAGGCCATCGGTTGGCAACTTGCAGCCATACCTAATGGCCATGTATGTTCGAAAATTAGCCAAGTTTGGATGAAAATCAATTCAATAGTAATAATATGTGTATAACAAAAAGTGCAAAAGTTTACTAATTAAAAAGAAAAAAAAAAGCCGAATTAAATTGGCAATAGTTGTACTATGTTAATACTTAAGATTGACAAGCCTGGTTGGACATGACATGCTAGGCAGCACGGTTGCCGAGCACGACAGGCTCGTGAATGTAAATTGATCTTATTCTGTGATGAACTTACCCAGTATGAATTGCTTGTGAATGTTAATTGTCTTTTTCACCTAATAAATACTTCTTTCGTTGGACAATTTTTTATTTTTTTCTCTTCACGGTATTCTCGAGGAATGCATTACTTCACTTCATCATAAAAACGAGCTTATCCAGCATAACATGTTCGTGAATGCTCATTGTCGTTTCACCTAATAAATGCCTTTCTCTATACAATTCTCGAGATATAAGTGATGTCGCTTTTGTTAGAAAAACAAACTTTAACTTATATATATCAGAAAAAGGGGCTTTAAAGGGTAAAATACTATCAAGTTAGCTATTTTTACAAAATAAATAAATAAAATTATATTGGTGGGCACTTGTCAATTTTGAGTGTGTATATAAATCCCCAGTTTATTTACGTCTACTCTCAACAAGTGCGGTCTAAAAGAGTGAATTAACGAGTGTGAAAAGAGTGATTCTGTTGACCTCAAAAAATGCTGTCAACAGATGTCGGATTCACTCGTGTATGCGCAAACTATATCCAACACGTAAAGACGGATCAACGGTCGGGATCACTCCACAATTGGACGTGGGAGAAGCTCAACGAGACGTTTTCGTGCGGGTTCTGGCTGCACAATAATAACCAATCGCTATGAACTCAGATTAAATGAACGTAAGATTGCAAATGAACGTAAGAGAACCCAATGAGTTGCTCCAAGTATTTAAAGTTGCATTAGTCTTCAACTGTTACATGGTTGGAGTATTTATAGTATTACAAATGAAATGGTGATCATTGGATGAAATTACCTGTGGCCTCATCCTTACGGTTGAAGCATCAAATCCTAGCCATCATTTTGACTTCCTAGCTTTACAAAGCATTTAATACTCTTACACCCTATTGACAAGACAAGACACAACACAAATATACTCATTACAAGGGTTACATCAATCTTTCCAAAAGGATTTCTCACTTAGCCCCTGTTTGTCTACCATTTTTCAAAACATTGTTTTCTACAGTAATCAATCTTCACTACACATTCAAATAATAAAATATTCTACACATAAATCGATAAAGTTTCTTTCAATTTTAACCACACATTCTCCAAAAAATACTATTCATTACACCATTTTCATCACAATAATAGTAGACAAACAAGCACTTAATTTAGAATAAAGTTATGTGTACACAATTCTTTACACTCCCCTCACATGGAGGGGCTCCACACATAATAAAATAATCGTGGGCCCCCCCTCCATGTGAGGGGGTGTAAAGGATTGTGTAATGCATGAGGTGTACATGCAGCATCACCCCTTAATTTAAGATCTCTGCGCGTGGACAATCACTAGTTGGGTGGAGCCTCGACTTGGGCCGTTTCGGATTAGTAACTGGCTCGGACTTTTACCCCAGGCCTCGGAATTTACCCAGTGCCTCGAAATGTCCACATCCGATTAATAATGGGCCCCGGAAATTACCACTTGGACCACGTCTCTATGGCTGGTGGTTCGGCAGGGATGGCCGGACGGGTCCGCAACCTTACTGGGTCGCCCACATGGCAAATGCTAGCAAGTCATAACAGATTCATTTTCATTTGGAGAATTTGCCATGGCCGATGCTTCATCTTTGATCCCGACGACAGTTCTCCATGACCTCTCTCATAAGCTATATGAAAAGCGCAAAAAAGCGGCTCTTGAGGTCTTAATTTGTATGTATTTGCTTATGTAAAATTTTAGTTTTCGGCTCGAGTATAAGTTTTTGAAGTAATTTTTTGGTTTGTTGGTTCTAGCCTTCTAGGTCGAAGGGATAGTAAAGCAATTAGCTTTGACAGAAAATCACGATAAAATGATTGCGGTGATCACTTTGTTGGCCACTGAGTTTGTTGACCCCAGAAAATGTTGCCAACAGATGCCGGGCCCACTTGTGCACACGCAAGCCTGATCCAACACGCTAATGCCGATCAACGGTCAAGATGGCTCCAGGAAAGGGGTGTGGGAGTATCTAAAAGGCATGAGACGTTTCCGTTCAGGCCACCGGCAAGAATGTAATGCGATTGTATAAGAAACCAATCGTTAAATGGACGATTTGTAATACAAATATGTTGTAAAAATCACTTGTTAAAATGAGAGAAATTGTTGCTCCAAAATATTCAGTTTACTCTTTAATTTTGCATTAGTCCATTTTGTATTACATGGTGAGGGTATTTATAGTGTTACAACTCAAATGGTGACCTTTGGATCACTTTACACGTGGCCTCATCTTGTCGGCCAAGACATCAAATCCTAGCACTCAAGTTGACTCTTCTAGCTTTACAAAACATTAAATGCTCTTACATTGACAAGACAAGACACAAATAAACTTTACATAGAAGTCATGCCAATCATTCACCAAAAATCTCCATCATATGCGGATCTTCGCATGTGGGCCTTCAATGGCTGCTAAGGAGCCTCGGACGATGTATGCTAACCGAACCGTGGCTTATTGTTAGCAGCAGTAGCCTCGTAATGATAGTGAGGGCCTCGAAACCCACGTCTGAAGCTGGAAAAATATGTCCTGATTTGATTAAGCTGGTCCCACCACTAAAATGCGGTGCCACGCGTCGCTTCCATCTACTGACCCGTAACAATAGTCCCCCAAGTCCATGTGCGGTTATTTATGCCAGGCGTGGACTTTCAATAAGTTAAGAAAAAGTTTTGATTTTCTGTACTTCACAGAGTTTACCAAACTCCCCTCAGACGAATCATCGTAAAGTGAGTTTTTGTTTCGTTTTTAATTTTCTTGATTAACATTGAAAATGGGGTCTTTTTGGGTGCTAGTTTAATTTTCTTGATTGACATTGAAAATGGTTTCTGTTTAATTTCCTTGGTAGACATTGATAATGGGGTTTCGTCATTTAACATCTTAATTGATGTGTTGAATAGTTGAGAAATTGGATATTTCGATTTGGATTTGTTTTTATATACATATCACTATTCATTTAGGGAGGTTTGATAGCATTGGCTGCTGCAACAGTAGGTTTGGCTTCGGAAGCAGCACAACATCTAGAGGTAACAATACCCAAATATTTGAATGAATAAAGATTTCAGACTTTTTCTCCATATAAGAACTTTCCTTTTCTTCTTTATAAGAGAAGCATTATTAGAGATAATGATAATATATTAGAAATTGTTTTTCCTTGCTGTGCAAAAGAAGAATGGCCTAACGGAATATGTTAAATGACACCATATAGTTCATTAGAGTTTAGTTCCATCAATGTATATTCAGGGACTAGATAAGGAATATCAGTTGTGTGTGATAATGTCATATTGATTAAGTGATTGGAGAGTAAGAAATTGAAACTGCAATAGGCGACATGGTATCACTGTGAGCGTACAATTGTGAATGATGGATTTTTATGATTACACGACATTGAATGTAGAGGTATGTAAATGTGGATCTTTTGCTTGCGTTCCTAGGATGTTCATTTTTCACGGCCTGGTTAGTGATATGGTAGTATATTTCTAAATTTTAATTTGGAGAGTTTAAATGGTATATTTACTTAGCAAGGTCCATTTATTGTTAGAAACACCGGTTTCTTGATTTGTTAACATTTGAAAACTGTGCCTATTTTTCTAGTTCATGATATCTGGTGGCTGCTGCTGGCTGGAACAATGCAACATTTTCATTAGACTATTTTCTATTGGACGAGAAAATTGTTTTGTCACACTATTTGTTGTTCCTCACTTCATTGTTAAATGTTTTTTTCTTCGATGGATAAAGAAATGCAATGCAGATTCTCAAGTAAATGATTTCTATTTTCTACATCACCCTTGGTGTGCTTTAACTGATTACGGTTTGCTTACGAATTACGAATTCTCTTGTTTACTATAGTTTTCTTTTTGTTGATTCTGAAATCGACTCATGCTTGTTCAGATGAACAGATAGCAAGTGAAAATAGATACATCATCCATTTATGATTTTCATGTTGGCATTACAAATTTTTGTCAATAGTCCCACCATGTTGTTTTCCGTTCTTGCAGGAATGCTGTATGTGTCTTTGTAGGTACGAGGATGCAGTAGCAATCCAGGCTCTTCCTTGCACTCATCATTTTCATACGTCGTGTATTGTGAAATGGCTTAAGGTGAAGGCACTATGTCTGATCTGCAAGTACGACATCCACAAGGGAAAAGACCATGAGTAAACAAAGTGAAGAAAATCACTTCGACTTTTACATTGGCTTGTGCAATCAAGGCTGGAAATTTTGCATTCCCTGGGAATACGACATATAGATCCCAGCCTTTGTAAATCTTTTGATTCCTTCGATAGGGTAAAAATGATGATGATAAGTATCCAGGTATATGTGGATATTGTGGCAACTGTTTGTAATATGCCTTTCGAATTTCTTGAAAGTGACTGCTTTCTGAATTATGTGGAGGACAGTAGTCGGGAATTCTTGACGTCATTGAGTTGGAACATTACGTTCTTCCAAAATATCGTGATTCAACACCAAAGAATTTCTGGGCTACCATATGTTATTCATCTTTGCTCAGTCGTAAATAAAGCATTTGAATACAGTACAAGAGGTTATTTGCTTAGGGCTTTATGCTAGGATTTAAATGTGAAACAAATGGGACCAAAGATTAATCCTACCAATGAATGTCTTTCACAAGTTCATTATACAGTGTCTTTCTCACATCGTCTAATATGCAGTGGCAAAATTAAAGAGCTACAAACATAGGGATTTACTAAGAGGTCAATTAAGCAATATTATTCATATTTTATGGGCACAAACATTAGCTCAATTGTGTATTATATTGGTGTTGGCAATTCCCTGTATAGAAAGCCATCAAATATCTCTAGAGAAAGCAAAGGTAAAACATAAGTATAAAACAGTGTCCAAGTAATAATCACTAGTTGGGTGGAGCCTCGACTTGGGCCGTTTCGGATTAGTAACAGGCCTCGGACTTTTACCCCAGGGCCTCGGAATTTACCCAGTGCGTCGGAATGTCCATCTCGGATTAATAATGGGCCCTGGAAATTACCACTTGGACCACGTCTTTATGGCTGGTGGTTCGGCAGGGATGGGTCCGCAACCTCACTGGGTCGCCCACATTGCAAATGCTAGTAGCAAGTCATAAAAGATTCATTTTCATTTGGAGAATTTGCCATGGCCAATGCTTCATCTTTGATCCCGACGGCAGTTCTCCATGACCTCTCTCATAAGCTATATGAAAAGCGCAAAAAAGCGGCTCTTGAGGTCTTAATTTGTATGTATTTGCTTATGTAAAATTTTAGTTTTCGGCTTGAGTATAAGTTTTTGGAGTAATTTTTTGGTTTGTTGGTTCTAGCCTTCTAGGTGGAAGGGATAGTGAAGCAATTAGCTTTGACAGAAAATCACGATAAAATTACTGCGGTGATCACTTTGTCGGCCACTGAGTTTACCAAACTCCCCTCAGACGAATCTTTCATTTCACTCAAAAACAAAGCAAAAATTAAAAGAACTAATTGTAACTTTTACCCCAGAAAAACCCACGATCAAATTAAAAGAACTAACTGTAACTTTTACCAAAGACAAATTAAAGGAACCAGGACATTGATAATGGGCTTTCGTCATTTAACATCTTAATTGATGTGTTGAATAGTTGAGAAATTGGATATTTCGATTTGGATTTGTTTTTATATACATATCACTATTCATTTAGGGAGATTTGATAGGATTGGCTGCTGCAACAGTAGGTTTGGCTTCGGAAGCAGCACAACATCTAGAGGTAACAATACCCAAATGCCAAATATTTGAATGAATAAAGATTTTAGACTTTTTCTCCATATAAGAACTTTCCTTTTCTTCTTTATAAGAGAAGCATTATTAGGGTTCGTTTGATTGTAAAGGTGGAAAGAAAATGTTTTACTGGGAATTGAATTGTCTAGAAATTGTTTTACTGGGAATTGTAATTAATTGTGTTTGATTGGTATAATTTTCCACCTGGAAAATGTTGAAAATTTGGTGTCCGTTTGACTTCATTTTTTATGGAAATTGTCTATTAAAGTGATAATTTTTTCTACCATTGCGTCTAGAATTTGTTCCAATTACCAAAAAGTAAAAAAAAAAAAATTTAAACAATTAGAAAAAATTACCATATTCGTTTGACTTTGTTTTGCGTAGAAATTGTCAACAAAAGTGAAAATTCTTTTTTCTTTAGATTTTCTAGTCTATCAAACACATCCTTAGAGATAATGATAATATATTAGAAATTGTTTTTCCTTGCTGTGTAAAAGAAGAATGGCCTAACGGAATATGTTAAATGACACCATATAGTTCATTAGAGTTTAGTTCCATCAATGTATATTCAGGGACTAGTTAAGGATTATCAGTTGTGCGTGATAATGTCATATTGATTAAGTGATTGGAGAGTAAGAAATTGAAACTGCAATAGGCGACATGGTATCACTGTGAGCGTACAATTGTGAATGATGGATTTTTATGATTACACGACATTGAATGTAGAAGTATGTAAATGTGGATCTTTTGCTTTCATTCCTAGGATGTTCATTTTTCACGGCCTGGTTAGTGATATGGTAGTATATTTCTAAATTTTAACTTGGAGAGTTTAAATGGTATATTTACTTATCACTAGCAAGGTCCATTGATTGTTAGAAACACCGGTTTCTTGATTTGTTAACATTTGAAAACTGTGCCTATTTTTCTAGTTCATGATATCTGGTGGCTGCTGCTGGCTGGAACAATGCAACATTTTCATTAGACTATTTTCTATTGGACGAGAAAATTGTTCTGTCACACTATTTGTTGTTCCTCACTTCATTGTTAAATGTTTTTTTCTTAGATGGATAAAGAAATGCAATGCAGATTCTCAAGTGAATGATTTCTATTTTCTACGTCACCCTTGGTGTGCTTTAACTGATTACGGTTTGCTTACTAATTCTCTTGTTTACTAGTTTTCTTTTTGTTGATTCTGAAATTTGACTCTTTTTTTTTCTTCATTTCACTGTGTCTATTTTATCAGCAAATTGTACCACCAATCTTGTACTCCTTTTCTGATCAAGATAGTAGAGTTCGTTATTATGCCTGTGAAGCTCTGTATAACATAGCAAAGGTGAGGGACTAAACACGAATCTTATAATTTGTGTCTTTTCTTCTTTACGTATATCAATTTTGGATTTCATTAATTCTTGCTAATTTGCAGGTTGTGAGAGGAAATTTTACAGTGCTCTTCAATCAGATTTTTGAAGTTCTGTACAAGCTTTCCATCGATTCAGATCCCAATGTACAAAGCGCTGCTTACCTTTAAACAGGCTTGTAAAGGTAGATAATTTTCATATTTAATATATTCATGTCAAGTTTTCTTTTGTATTTTTGTTCTTTTCTGTTTTCAAAAATAAATTTTGATTATTAACCCGGTGCTTTTTCTGTTATCTGCATGCAGGATATTGTTACAGAGGGTGATCAGTTCAGGTACTATATCGATATCCTATTATAGCTTTAATGTGTAGGAAGGTGAGGTGGAGGTGAATTTGAGCATCCTTCCCAAATACAGGTTTGAGACCTTTAAGGATGAGGAGAAGCTAGGCGTTGTAGCTGGCAGAATAGTTCCTATCGGGTACACTGCAAAGGAGCGAATACTTCAACCTGAAGATGGAGCGAGTTCCATATGTTGTGACTAGTAATGTAGTTTGATTTTGTTGTAATGTTTTTCAGACCTTTTAACCTTTATAAAGATACAAAATCGTAATAGATTACAACCTACTCACACTCACTTTTTTTACCGGTAATAATGCCTAGTGTTTCTTGTGAAATCGACTCATGCTTGTTCAGATGAACAGATGGCAAGTGAAAATAGATACATCATCCATTTATGATTTTCATGTTGGCATTACAAATTTTTGTCAATAGTCCCACCATGTTGTTTTCCTTTCTTGCAGGAATGCTGTATGTGTCTTTGTAGGTACGAGGATGCACTAGCAATCCAGGCTCTTCCTTGCACTCATCATTTTCATACGTCGTGTATTGTGAAATGGCTTAAGGTGAAGGCACTATGTCCGATCTGCAAGTACGACATCCACAAGGGAAAAGACCATGAGTAAACAAAGTGAAGAAAATCACTTCGACTTTTACATTGGCTTGTGTAATCAAGGCTGGAAATTTTGCATTCCCTGGGAATACGACATATAGATCCCAGCCTTTGTAAATCTTTTGATTCCTTTGATAGGGTAAAAATGATGATGATAAGTATCCAGGTATATGTGGATATTGTGGCAACTGTTTGCAATATGCCTTTCGAATTTCTTGAAAGTGACTGCTTTCTGAATTAAGTATGTGGAGGACAGTAGTCGGGAATTCTTGCAGTCATTGAGTTGGAACACTACGTTCTTCCAAAATATCGTGATTCAACACCAAAGAATTTCTGTGCTACCATATGTTATTCATCTTTGCTCAGTCGTCAATAAAGCATTTGAATACAGTACAAGAGGTTATTTGCTTAGGGCTTTATGCTAGGATTTAAATGTGAAACAAATGGGACCAAAGATTAATCCTACCAATGAATGTCCTTCACAAGTTCATTATACAGTGTCTTTCTCACATCTTCTAATATGCAGTGGCAAAATTAAAGAGTGACAAACATAGGGATTTACTAAGACGTCAATTAAGCAATATTATTCATATTTTATGGGCACAAACATTAGCTCAATTGTGTATTATATTGGTGTTGGCAATTCCCTGTATAGAAAGCCATCAAATATCTCTAGAGAAAGCAAAGGTAAAACGGAAGTATAAAACAGTGTCCAAGTAATAATGTCAGTAAATAATGACACAAGGAATGTTGTATTAGATACACAGAAATTATCTCATATTTTTGGCCAATGTACAAAGTTACAGAGGATGTTATAGAGTGAAGGGGGCAACAGATATCTTCCCAGACAAATTTTAAAACTAGCCACAGTTCTATACTCCTCATATAAGTAGTTCTGTGAACTCGACATAAAAACTTCCATTTTCAAGCTTTGAGCTTTTTGACAAGCTACAAAAGAAAAAACCGAAAGCTTAATTCTTTTGCTCAGCTAAGCACCATCCTTTTCACTGATTCCTGATAGGCAACGAACAAACTCCGTGTGCAATGAATGTCCACCCTGTTAAGATATAAGTGCAGTTAACCCTTTGATCAAATACATTGTACTCACAAAATAATTTTTCTCTGTGGTTGGCCATTTTATTGACAAATTGTTTAAGGTAATCAACCATGAGAAGAAAATGCTAGTTAACTACATGGTCAAGTATTCCTTCTTGGAACATAATACTGAAATAGACATGAAATAAATCTCAACATGATATCCACAGTTAGCACACATAAAGATTGAAGTTTTTAGTTCGAAAGTATTGATAAATTTACATAATAAAATGTTAAGTTAATTTAAGATATTGATTGAAATATGTCTCAACATGATTAAATATGAACTTAAATGAAATTTGGTTAAAGATTTACATCCGGGGAGTTTATTACATATAATTCCACAATATCCACAGTTAGCACACATAAAGACAACATATAATCTCCAGTCATTTTAACATTTTGTCTTTAATTATTAACTTACCAAATGGGTAACTGCTTGTACATTTAATTTACCCAAATGTACATCTTTAGAAAAGCAATGCTACAGCTACTTATAAGCGAGAAAAAGTAAATCAAATGAAATCGTAAGAATGATAATATGTCAATGTTTGATTCCGATAGTGTAATGACTCGACCTCTATGTCCAAGACGTTAACTTACATATTATCCACTCTGGGATAGCCTGAAAGTCCCAATAAGTACCAGGATTTAACTCAAGTCTCTCATAAGGAAGATGTTTTGAGTTCGAATCTTAGGGACGCAGTAAAATTCACGAAGGGTAAAATGGCTCAGGTTCTTCCAGAGTGGACAATAAATAAGTTAGCAGCTTGGATATAGAGGTTAGGTCATTACAAATAGTAACAAAAAGAAAGGATAGCCTGAAAGTCCCAATAAGTCCCAAATTTGGTTAAAGATTTACATCCGGGTAGTTTATTACATATAATTCCACAATATCCACAGCACACATAAAGACAACATATCATCTCCAGTCATTTTAACATTTTGTCTTTAATTATTAACTTACCAAATGGGTAACTGCTTGTACATTTAATTTACCCAAATGTACATCTTTAGAAAAGCAATGCTACAGCTACTTATAAGTGAGGAAAAGTAAATCAAATGAAACCTCGTAAGAATGATAATATGTCAATGTTTGATTCCGATAGTGTAATGACTCGACCTCTATGTCCAAGACGTTAATTTACATATTATCCACTCTGGGATAGCCTGAAAGTCCCAATAAGTACCAAGATTTAACTCAAATCTCTCATAATGAAGATGTTTTGAGTTTTGAGTTCGAATCTTAGGGACGCAGTAAAATTCACGAAGGGTAAAATGACTCAGGTTCTTCAAGAGCGGGCAATAAATAAGTTAGCAGCTTGGATATAGAGGCTAGATCATTACAAATAGTAACAAAAAGAAAGGGAAAGAGAAGGACCTTATAAGTTATAATGTGAGCCACCAGAAGCCCTTGACTGCCATCTTTTGCAAAAAGGGAAAGATCGCCAATAAGATCTAAAACTTTGTGCCTACAAGGCTCATCATCATAACGCAACGGTGGATTCAACCAGCCTCTAGTGACGCTACACAACACAACAATATATGCAAGCAGGTCAATGGCTAGACCCAAGAAAAGGAAGAGAGATGTAAACTCTATAAATGGCTACAATATCTACGTCATCTCTCACTGGAAAAAAAATTATATTTTACAAATGCCCTTGTGTATATGCTTATCAATGTTGAAAAATATCTACAAAACAATAGTAGAGATTGGAGAAGAAAGACACAAGGTATCTTAAATATATAACATTTACTAGAGATAGTAAAAAGAATTTAGGAGATAACATGCCAGCCAACCTGAGAACTTGAAAAGTTGCACTAAAATCAAAATTTGAAGTCTTCAACACCAGCAGTTTTAGGACCACATTTAAAGCAAGCTTTCTTATTCAGCAAACGTAACCCCCAACCATCCAACCCTTGCCCAAGAAGTAAATTCATGCAATATAAATGCCATATGAAAATGTTCATTGCATGGTTTAAAGGTTCATTCATCTTTCATAATAACAAAAGATAGAAAATTTTCAGAAACAAGATAGAAAAGTTACAAAATGCTAGACATAGATTTATTTTATTTTTTATTTTTTCCTTCTAAAAATAAGGACAAAAATGTTGGGAAAAAACAACTTTTAAATGAAAGTTTCATGACTATTCATGGTTTTGTAAGATAATTGAAATAAAATTGATTTTATTAAAAATCCCATAATTTCAGAACCGCCATTAGTTTCCAGGCCAATATGATCTAACATGTAAACATTGTGGGATTTCGGAAAACATGTAAACTTTAAATAGTAGTTCATAGCATCTAAATTTCTCTAGAATGTAAACATAAAACAAGCATATTAAGAGCCCATTAAGTCTTTTCTCAGCATAAATGCATCGGAAGCATGAACACTGAAATGTAAATTTTATAGCAAAAGTTTAATTAGCCCCTAGAATCATTCACTTCATTCATGATTTATGCAGCTTGAAAATCCAACGAGTAGTTGAATTTCCATTTTTAAGTGTTTTGCATAGGTAAATTATGCTATATATACACCAGGTGTTCACAGTTCTATGTGTCTCTCATCTTGGTGCGAAGTGAATATATTTCTCTGTATTACACACTCATCATAACCCAATACAAGCATATATTTCTTTTTTTCAGCCAAAGTAAATAATAATAATAATAATAATAATAATAATAATAATAATAATAATAATAATAATAATAATAATAATTACCTATCTTCTGCATTTTATCAATGCAGCGAGTAAATAGACAAATGCTAAAACCTGGCACCAATCACCATAATGACCCAAGTCTAAAATAAATGAAATGTCCAACATAAAATACACGTCCTTCACCAGGCATTTAAAAGTATCAAGCTGAGGATGTAAAGTGAGAATGACAGACACGAGTCCTATTCTTGTTTAAACCTCAGGATCACAGCAATCTTTTAATAGAGTAAAATAAAACTGGTTATGCTACAATTTAACAACAAAACAAACTATTCTTAAAGATTCAAGACTCTTATTTACTGATTAAATTTTCATTCCCTCCAATTGTTAACATATACATCTGTAGAGAAGTATCTCTCACCTACATATTATGGCAGTTTCGGCTGAACCCCCTTTAATAAGTCCTAAGCTGCGCATATGTTCCACCTGCAAGGAATTTCTAACTGAGATTCCAGCAGTAGTATCATAAATACACACAAGTCACACAATCTGTAAAATAAGTTAGTTATGCTTAAGCTCCTGCATATTTACATTAAAAAACTATATCCAATCAGTACCCTGCACCGAAATGTATTCAGAGAAAAAAACTGTACTTTAAAATGTTCGTGGGATAGCAATAGAAGTTCATTCGTTCCATAATAGAAGACAACTCACCATCATTTCACCTAATATATGATACCCTGAAATAAAATTCCCTAATCATATCAATATAATTGGAAAATGATATTTTACAGCAAGCCTAGTCAGATCAGAGAAGTGACAGTACAAACTCAAGTTTAAAATATAAATTGGATTGTGCATTCAATTGCAAACATAACAGAGAGAGAGAGAGAGATATGGCAAACCAAAAAATGAGATTCATGACTCACCTCTTCGTAAATGCAAAAGGTTCTTGAAGAAGCTATTTGCTTTGAGTAGAAAGATACATCCAACAGGGTGGAAGAGAACCACTGACGGCCAATAGCCGGTGCCTGCAAGAAATGTTTTCAATAAGAACAAGAACTGTACTAGATTGCTGTATGATACCACATAAAGCTAGCTGCATGGGAGAGTTCACTAAAATATTGGTGTTTGTGTGACAAAAAATAGACCATTGTCAATAGTAATCCCCCCAAAAGCTGCTATTTGATATAGGAGGTGTAATAAAGTACAAGGAGAGAGAGTCCCAAACTGGTGGAATATTTCTGCAGGGCTACTCTATAAAGGCCCTTCATGCTCGGCTACAATAGGTAAACAGTACATCACAGAACAATTGATGTGCTTAATATATTACTAATGATGCTCTATCTGACTTCACATATCAAATGACTGTCTCTCCTATAGGAAACAAGCCGGCAGGAAGATAACAACAGCTAAGTAAACACATTTTTTGAACCATCAATTATATTCGTCCTTCTGCTCCTTTCCACACACAAGTGCAATAACAGAGAATAAGATTTACAGATTGACTCTGGCATGAACAAATAAATGCATATTCAGATTGAATTTTATGGCTAAATTAAATATCAAAATTACGAATTAATTTTGGTAAGAAATTATATTTGCTTATGATTGAGATAGATTCTGATAGTTTGACATCGTTTCTTCGTAAGGTGAAGTATTAGGTTAATACATAGAGCACTTTATACATCTTCTACAACTATGATTATTGTGAAGCAGAAATTATTATATACAATAAGAAGTAACAGAGCATTTATAATTTCCAATTTCAATGTGAAGTTCATACACTAATATAACAGAAACTTACCTGTGGGAAGTCAATGCCATATGTGATGTTGACTTTTGAATGAGGGTATGCCACCATAAAAGAATCATTTTTTCGCACATGAACCGGTTGGTTAAGAAAAGGTGCCAATTTTTCACAGCTACTACCACCACAATCTATGGCCACCTTTAATCCAACTTGATCAATTGCCTCCACCCATTCTCTTGCTGACCCATCAAAAACAGGAACCTGTGTCAGCATTCTAATAAAAAGTTAATGACAATAAAAGTTCATGCACTTTATTCCATTACAGGAGCTTTTTTTATCAATTCATAATAGATTGATTCTATATTCAAAATGAGAAACATTTTTAAACAAGTGTAAATCACTAATATGTAAGTATTCACATTTTTTCGTATCCAAGTTAGAGTTGAACTGTTCATTACTAATGTCTTCTACCAAACGTGAAAGCTGTCTAAAAATTGGTTTACTGAGAGCTTGTTTGGGAGAGATTTTTTGAAAATCATTTTCAACCACACATTCTATGAGACCCTAACTTTCTCTATTTTTTAACCAAGCGTTCTCCAAAAAAAATCATTTTTCCTTTCAATAAATCTCTCCCGACCAAGCTCTGAATTAAATTACAATTTCCATACTGCATTACTGTTATGTTTGATGAATCCCAGCTCAATAAGGACATCTTTTAGATAATATCTTGCTTTTCTTCTGTTGGGGATGAGAAGTTCTCCATCAGTCAACTGATTCTAGAATGAGCTGGATTATTTCACAGCATATTGAAAGTTGAAACCCAAATGTCCTCTACGCCCTATGTGCAATTGCACTCGTATGAAAACATAGATTTCTGTATGCAACTGAAGTTAATGACTGAATAAGCAAATTATAGTGAATACCTGAGGATTCATTCCCATTCTAGTTCTGTCACTGAAAAAGCAAATCATGGTAAATACCTGAGCCTGAGGGTTCATTCCTATTCTAGTTCTGTCTAATTCATGTTTGAGGGCTTTTATTTGATTGCAAAAAATAAAACTATTTTATATCTCATAATAAAGGTGAATCAATAAAGAAAGAAGGAATCTAATGAGAAAAAAAAATATTAAAATCCTCAAAAGTCGAAGACTCAACCCTAAATGCTACATATTATCCCTCTCCAGATATTTGAAGAGTTGCAAAAATCCATCAAGCAAGCCTAACACAGTGCCCCTACTAGATTACCACCACCAGACGACTCCATACTGAAGCTATTCATTGGCTCAATCTTACAATATCTGGAAAGCCAAACCTATAGGATTAGGTCCACTTTTACAGCATAACTGCACCACCCATAATTTTCTTGGCCACAGAAGAGGAATCGGATATTTCCTGTCGACAAGTTCCATCATTATAGGGGAGCCATAGTGACTATTGCTTGCAATCTCTTACGTAAATTGAGAATTGCACTCCAAATTTATTATCTTTTCAGTTTCATAAGTTCACCAAATATGACAACAGCATTATTAAACTCAAACAAATTACCTCCACCGATTGATCAAAGGGGTCCGAGCTTTCAATTTCAATGCGACAATTATCGACGCCGGTGGCCTCCAGAGCCGAGAGCAAATGCTCGACTGTACGAATTGAATACCCCTCTTTAGACAGTGTAGTACATAGAGGAGTCTCTTTCACAGCGTGGGCAATCGATGCGCGAACAATATTCGACTTGAAAACGAAATACCGGCCGGTGCGGGCAGCCTCTGGAGAAATTTTGACGGTTGAGAGCTTGCCCGAGTGAAGTGCTCGTCCAGCTCTCTCTATACAGTTAGCTACTGTTTGCTGCAACTTGCCTGTCTGCAATTACAGATACAGATTCATGTGTAAGTTTGTTTAGAAGTGAATATACGTATAGAGAAAGAGAGGATGGAAAGAAAGTACGGATTTCCATGAGATGAGGGAGGAGAACTTGAGAGAACTGAAAGCGCCTCCGCCGACTGTCATTTTTCAGTGTCCCTAAAGAGGAAGTGGAACAGCTAACGAGCGAGGACGTCGATTTTGACCATTTCTGAATTCAGTTACATGTTTCGTTGGCCCGAATTTTGCACAGTGTGACGGCCAAACCAGCCAGCCGGCCAAACATGCCTTTACGAAGATTTAACCCCTCGACGCGTCCCTTCCCAATTGAATTAAAACTCAGGGATGAGAAAAAAATTCGATATCCGTTGGGTAACCCGCTTAATCGGGTAACGGCGAGAAATTTTGTCCCAGGGCGGGTCCGAGGCGGGGACGGGTAATGGGGGCCCCGCCCCGTTAATTTTTCTTTTTTTAGAATTCAATAATTTAAATGAAAATTTTCATTAGTTCCAATAGAAAATAGCAACTAAAATTATTTATCTAAATTTAATGAATATGGGCAATAAAAATAAATTATCAAAAACTAAATAAATAAATAAATAAATAAACGGGGAGTAAACAGGGAAAGGCCCGCCACACCTTAAATAGGTAACGGGGAGGGGACGGGGTGGAAAATTTCTTAGCGGGGGTGGGGAGGGCCGCCCCGCCCCGCACCACCTCGTTGTCATCCCTATTAAAACCCCAAATTTCTTGAAATCCAGAATTTTTCCAAATCAATTTCTCTAGAAGCTCCACTCCAAAATCCCAAAATCGTCAATATCAATTCAACATTCCGAACCTTAACTCCAAGAATAGGCAATAAATTGAATTCCTTTGTGAAAGCTACCTTCATTCAACGATTTCTTAAGTTATGTTGAGGTATTTTCTGAATCTTTACCGAGTTTGTTGTAATGGATTTTTTAATTCAAGGCCGACTCTTACAACTTCATAAAAAGGAGCTCTAAGCAAAGTTGGGATGTAAGGTCAGATGATCCTATTTAAAACTATGACTAGTCTCAAGATTATACAAAGAAATAGGTGCACAAGAAAATTTGTATGATGAAGAAAATAGTCTCAAGATTAACTGGAACAGCAAAATTGCCTTGGACCACAGAGATGAAATATTATCTCGAATTTTTGCATTCCATGGATTCCGTAACTAATGGAGTACCAACCATCTTTTGTTCTCAATTTAATTTGTATGATAATTTTGGTTCCAAGATTTGTCGTCTTTACACTCATTGAAAACAAGTCTGAAATGTATGCATTTTAACTTCACAAAAAAGATTAAAGAGCTTGACAAAAGCTAGGTCAGTAGCATTGCTTGAACAGTTTGAGGAAGAGAAGAAACGCGTGCACGGTGGTGAGCAACAAAGTCGTTTGATATACAGGAATGATATTGACATATGGGCAATAGTCCCACCATTGACTTGAATGTCCCTTTGTCAAACGACTTTAAATTCATATATCAAATGTTAAAGGATATAATCCCACATCATAGGTGGGAAAGCAATTTCCACCTTCTTTTTTCTTTGCTTTTTTTTTTTTAGCAATGACAACAAATTCTATCATCCATTGTAAAAAGAATTTTTACTTTTGTTGATAAATTCCATGCAAAATAAAGTCAAACGAATGTTATTCAGTATGGTAATTTTTTCTAATTTAATTTTTTTGTTTTTTGTTTTTTGGTAATTGGAACAAATTCTAAACGCAATGGTATAAAAAAATTATCACTTTAATGGACAATTTCCATAAAAACGAAGTCAAGTGGACACCAAACTTTCAACATTTTTCATGTGAAAAATTATACCAATCAACTATAATTAATTACAATTCCCAATAAAACAAATTCTAGGCAATTCAATTCTCAATAAAATATTTTCTTTCCATTCATTTTTCACATTTGCAATCAAACATACCCTTATTGAAAACAAGTCTGAAATGTATGCATTTTAACTTCACAAAAAAGATTAAAGAGCTTGACAAAAGCTAGGTTAGTAGCATTGCTTGAACAGTTTGAGAAAGAGAAGAACGCGTGCACAGTGGTGAGCAACAAAGTCGTTTGATATATAGGAATGATATTGACACATGGGCAATAGTCCCACCATTGACTTGAATGTCCCTATGTCAAACAACTTTAAATTCATATATCAAATTCTAACTAAAACATTGCCACCTTTTAAGTGATGCTCCACGTCAATGTCACAAGCCATTCGTAATTCTAAACCCATTGCCGAAAAGCCAAACTTACAATATAGAATGAAACTTTAAAAATAAAGAGATCAAACACCAAGGTAGCTTAAAGATGAAATTAGCTGCAACCATCTACTTGAATTTTACACGAGAGAAAGCACCAATTAACCCACCATAAGTAAGCAGGTACTCATCAACCTGCTTCAGTAGAATTTCGCAGAATCCCTTACAAAACTTCCATAAAAGCACTACCGATGTGATTTTAGGAATAGAAATATAAACACAGGTGCATCCTTACAAAAACTTCCAAAAAATAGAATTTTCTTGCAAATACAGTGCATCACTTACTATAAGGGCAATCTAAAATTTCCAAAAAGATGTGTTCTTTTGCCTGTATACCGCGTGGATTTTGCTATTTAGATATGGTGTTCGAAGAAGTTGCCTCATCTATGTCTACGCCTCATCCAGACTTCCAATTATACTTAATGCTAGAAGACTTCCACTGCCGGGGAAACTCTCATTTAAAGGAAGTTCTTCGCTTGATGGGAGTAATCCCCGCTTCTCAACCTATTGTCTAGCTGCATCGATGAGATTACCACTATTCCCTCGTGTACCTCTTATGCAGATCTGCTTTGCTACCACCCTCCTCATTGGATAAATACTAGGACAATAGCTCATCTGACGATGGATATACCGGTTCATCCACTTCAATATCTCTGCCCTGATCCAGTTCACCATAACCTACACCATCATGGCTATCCAATCCCATCAGTCATGGTTCTATCCTACAAAATGTCGTCTTGCTCAGACGCAAGGTCATTCTCCAAATTATCCTCAAAGTCCGAATCATCCTCATAATCTGTCGTAGAATTAAAGTATAACACTAGTTAACATCTCACGCAAACTGTGTATATAATGCTTCAAAAATATGATAAAGTTGACCTAGCACAGTAATTTTAATAATTTAAACAATAATTTCATTTCTCCAAGTTGTAGATTAATATTCTTCTCACTTTTGGTTATCGACAAAATAATAAAGTTAACTTAGTAGAAAACTAAAACTCTATCAATCAATTTAAAAGTGGTTTCTTTCCCGATATAAAAAGTTAACTTGGAAAAATTAGACCGGGAAAAACCCACCTCCCATGGCCGACCAACCATCACCTCACCATTCGCTGTCGTCGTTGTCGCCGCCACCACCATCACCACCACGTCAAATTGCCAGAAAAAAATTGAAGCACCTGTTGACCCCAAAAAATGTTGCCAACAGATGCCGGGCCCACTCGTGCACGCGTAAGCTTAATCCGACACGCTA